TTCACAATGACTTTTTGTGCCATGCTGCTGCGGGAGGCGACTAAGTGCATCGGCAATGGTATTACTTGGTCCGTTTACATGCTGAAGTTTGCTGTTATAGGCGCTAAAAAGTAGTGTCCACTTTTACATTCGAGGCGAAGGTATCTGTTGAATTCCTTTCTCCTTACCCAGGAGCGAAAGAAATGTTTTATGGTCAGGGTAGATGTCAAACTGTCTTCCTTAGACGTACTGGTGAAATGCTTAGCAAGGAAAATAATCGCTAAGGCCTCTGTGTCGAGTTGGGAGTAAATACTTTCAGCGGGTTGCAGGGTGTGAGTAGCAAAAGCGATTGGACGAAGAGAACCGTCATCCGTCCGGTGTCAAAGGACTGCGCCTATTCCGCGGGGAGAAGTATCACACTGCAATACTAGAGGCTGGCTCGGATCGAAATGCACGAGATTCGAGCAGGCGCTGAGCACTCTTTTTGCAGCTGTGGAGGCCTTTCTTTGACAGGGACCCCAAATTCTGAACTTTCCCTTGTGCACCAAGTTCGTACAAGCGTGCAAATACTGTTGGGTAGTTAGGTAAAAAGCGACGATAGTATTGAAACATCCCTAAAAAGGATCGGAGTTCAGCTTCATTCTTGGGTTCAGGTGTGACAAGGATGGCTATAACTTTCTCTCCTAACACGTCTAATCCGATTTTATCGAGGCGGTAACCCAACTAACGAGTAGAATCTGAGAAAAACATACTTTTGGATTACTTCAGTTTGAGTCCCATCAGTTGTAGACGTTCGTGCACAGTGGATAGCGTTTGTAAATGTTCAGCATCTATACGTCCTGTAATCAGAAGGTCGTCAACATAGGTACAAGTGAAAGTTATATCTTTTATCTGATTGTCAGTGATCCTTTGGAATATCGTTGGGGCCGAACTGATTCCGAAGCGCAGACATGTGTACTGGAATAGACCCTTGTGAGTCCTAATCGTAGTGCATGAGCGAGAGGTCTCTTATAACTCAATTTGTAAGTACGCGTGTTTGCGATCGATCTAGGTGAACTTTTGTCCGCTTACCAGCGTAGCATGCAGGACATCTATCCTTGATGAGCGATAGGTTTCCAGAATTAAACAACGATTAACAGTTAGTTTATGGTCACCACAAATACGCACAGAACCATCCGGCTTCAGCACTGAAACTATCGGAGCTCCCCGCCCACTCTATTGGACTGGCTCGATTGCTCCTGCTGATTGCGATCTCTGTTCTCCACCTTTGATCTCAGGGAATAAGGTAGGGTACATGCCTTGAAAAAGCGGGGCTGAGTTCCCCGTCGTAATTTGATATTAGCCTGACATCAGTTCAATTTTCCCAGTTTATCATAAAAAACGCCCGAATCTTTGTTGAGCACTTCCTTCAAGCGCTGATTAATAGACATGAACTTCACTGTCTCTAGCGTGGCCGGAAAGCATTTAATCCAGTCTCATCCGAGTAAGTTTGGACAACCATTCGGCACAGCATATGTCTGTAAGGTCCGCTTCTCCCCATGATAATTAATCAGAACAGTGCATTTTCCCAGGATTGGTAGCGGCTGCCCGGTATACTTCCGAAAAGTTGCTACACAGGGGGATAACTTGGGTAGTCTTTTTCCTGATACAGCACTGATTATGGTAACTGAGGCACCGGTATCAACTTCCATTTTAGCCAACTGGCCTTCTATTTCCAGTTGCACATTATAAGGCGGGTGAGGTTGCTTTCCAAATAGTGTTTACCTGGTCATTTTCCTCTGAAGGCTGGACGACCTTCACGGGCTTCTTGGGAAAACATGATGTCGCAGCAGTGCTGGCTTTAGATCGTCAAACTCGAGCCAAGTGCCCTAATTTTCCACAATGGCGGCAGATACTCTGCTTATGATGACATTCCTTGACCGATGAATACAGATTTCTACTTTGATGACAGGTAAAAGGCAATTCGGACCATCTCGGGGGAACACTATTTCAGTCGATTGCTTAGTGTCTGTATGAGGTTGCGGGGAAAAAGCTGTTAACGGTGATGGACATGCTCCAGTTGCCGAACAGTATTACAGGCCTTCTCCCAGCTCATCGGCGTCTCGTCCTCCGACAACAGCCTTTCACAAGCTTGTCCGTTACAGATACCGAATTTCAGGCACTGTAAAGCCATCGCCCCGTCGAACTTCGTGCCTGGGATTTCACTAGACCGACACTCTGGTAGGGCTTGCTGAATCCGCGCAATGAAATCAATGGCACTATCTTCAGGGTTTTCGCGCAAGATCGAAAAAGAATACCGCGCACTGTGTGTGTTCACTCGTGAACCCCATAACCCGCTGAGGACTTCTAGCCCGCTGTTGACTGTCCCCTTCTCACGGACATGGAGAGCGTCAAAATGTCTTTGGCCTTCGTCATCCAGAACTTGTCTTCAAAATTTGATTTTGTGGCTCTCTGAGAGTACCGTATTTGGTTGCAAGACGGGTAGTAGCTCTCAATAATCCAAAAATGTTGGCCTCCAGCATTTCCAAGTAGCCGGTGGTGATTTCTCAGTATCGATATTCCAAAGTAGTGTAGGGAGGTGCAACATCAAGGTTGTTTAACCTCGTCGCCAATATGTTAAGTATGCCCGTAGCTGATAGCTGGAACAGAACGTGCAGGCGTAGTCTGGAAAGGTTCAATCAAAGCTTCCCACGTTACACTGGCTAGAAATGCGGGAACGAAAAACCAATGCAATAAGGAATTTAGGCAAAGTTATTGTCATTGCCATTGAGCGCTTGTGTTCACGAATCAATACACAAGTGAATACGTGACAATGATGCTGACTCTTGCAAAACATTAGTGAGTTGTTCGCTCGTCTTACAATTGATGTTAAAAGCCGGTTATTGCATCCCGTTGGTGGAATATGGGGGTACGTCAATGAAAGATCTTCAGTTATGGCTAATTTTCCGTACCGTGCTGCTATGCGTTAATGGGGTTTGGTGCTTCATTCGCCGTCGTAAGCATCTCTTTTCATTTTGCCCAGAAATTTCAATCAATAGATCCACTTAGTAGAAATTTTGTAGCTCAATACTGAGCTGGAGATCTCTTCCTCACATAACCAGGACAAAATTTACAAAATTGCAGGGCCAAACTGTGCCCATAAACCCTAATCACCTAACCCGCAGTCGATGGCGCGTAGATCCGGGGCATGCGAGGTGAAAGCGGTCGGTGGACCATAGATGCAGCCAATCACGACGTCTCCTTTGCCTTACAAACTAGCTGTGCCCCATCTCTTGGTTGAAACCGAACGACATTCGGAATCGACTCAGTCCTCTGCAAAGCTCGTAATCTGAATGGCATAAGATGCGTCGCGATGTATCGTAGTTATCTTGAAAAACATGCCTGTCCGCCGCTGTCAACCATTGCTTAATGGCATAAACAATTGGCTAGCGATGCAAGCCGCAAACGGTCATGGATTCAGATCCTGGTGGATCCGATAGATGAGCGCCACTGGCGAGTCCCAACAGGTGGAAACAGCCGTCCAGTGCTTTCTCGGGTATGTGGAAAACTGTCCAGATTGAAGCTGCAACGAAGAAACCCCCAATTATCCGCCCCAAAAAGCCCCTATTTATGATAGTACGAGTGCTGCTTCTACACCGTCAACGGAAACGCAGCGTTTACCAAACCGGTCAGCCGAGTCGCACCACAAGCGTCCAACGGACATGTCTTGTTCGTGGACCCGAAGCACGGCACATTGGTTCAAATCGATCGGCCACTAAACACGGAGATCCTCTTAGACGACGTTTGCACACGTCCAGTTCGCTGGACACTACGCTGCCAGTCTACGGGCGAGCGAAATCTGTGTAAACCGCCACCATATGCGTCCAGTCGGAGGACAACTACACAATGTGAAGTCCATCTTACAGTTAGGGGTGATTTCAACCGTTTTGCAACTGGATTAGTGTTGACTATAGCACCGTAGACTAAGTCAGTTTAGCACCGTAGTATGCAAGAGGATCTTTTCCGGGAATCTACTGCCAGTTGAAAGTACCAGGTATGATTGATAGGGTTCGAGGCACAATCTGATCATGTGTTTACTGAATTTTGATTACTCCGCTATGAAGACCGAGCGTTCGGAAAACTCATCTCAAGCAAACTGTCGTAATAGCCACCTGAAGATCAAAAACGAAGTCTGGGCCTCCATGAAAAGCTACTATTCACAGCCATAAGGATCCCTATCTATCTTCCATGAAGTTGAACCACACAACGTGGCGCATTTCCATCGGTTGCCTTTCTCGTGGCATCAGCTTGAGTGCTGTTCGTGCTATACCAAATCACTTTTCTACTTGAGTTTATCGAGGTGCTCACTCGGGGTCTTGATGTGGTCCTATCGACGCGAACAAGCAAGAGATCGGTCTGGGGCAATCGCCGCTTGCTTGTTGGCTACCACGACACAGACCACAGGAGTACGCAGTCATCAGGGATTGCTTTGACAAGTTATGACTTTGCTGGAGGGGCTTGATCATGTTGAAACTTTTTTTCTCCCAACTGTCCAGCGACCCCGACGACACAACTGTAACTACCATATATACGCACTACCCTTGCGTTTATTACAGCAAGATAGCACTCATCTCCTGGCGCTGATAGATGGTATGAAAATGGTGGCTGAGATTTTGATTCGATATCACGAAGTTGACTTCGGATTCTCTAAGGTAGTCCTGACAACGGTTTTTTGCGTAATACTGTTTACGTTAAAGGATACTTTCATAATTCGTTAACAAGTTACCGCCAAATAATCACGTATTTATGATCATTGTGCTGTTTCCAATTCACCATACTGCAAACCTCTGCCCGTTGAGCGGGATGATGAGCTAAACGGATCTAAAGCATAATTTCTTTAGACATATAGAATCAAAATCTGTAGCTGATCATAGTTGTTTTGATATATGTTTACACCTATATTCAAATGAAATTACCATTCAGCAGTACGCCCACTACAACTTATCTCGTTCACTCATAACGGCGTTTACTTCCATCTTCAGCTATGCTATCACTTGCTACCCGACCTCTGTCCGGCCTTACGTATCACATCAGTGTGTCTGCAAACCGGGCTACACTGGGCTCAGATGCGAAAATTGTGCACCTGGTTACTTTGGCGATCCGACCAGCCTAATTGCTTGTCAGCCATGCGACTGTGATATGGCGGGATCGAGGAATGTGAACTGTGATCAGCATACCGGACAGTGCAACTGTTGGCCGGGGATCTCCGGTCGCCGATGTGATCAGTGTGAACCGGATCATGTGGTCGATGCTGGCAGGTGCCAAGGTGAGTTATCATGATAATTGTCACCCGATCGTAGATGTTGAGCTGCTGCAACCTCTTTGTTGGTGCGTATATGTTTCCTGTGCAAGATGAATGATCACTTACAGCCACCAGTTTGCTTCGCAGCGCTTTTGACACCGAGCAATCCCATGCGTAAGTATGCCCTTGGGAACTATTCACTGCACTATGCTTTTTGTTTAGATTGTCGCGGGGAGTGCACTGGAGAGCTGTTGGTCAAGGCTGACGAGGTCAAAACACAAATTGACAATCTAAACATGACGAGCTTGGCTTACCGGGGTCTCACTCGTCTAGGCCAACAGGCAGAGGTACTCCGTCAGCGGTTCAGCAAAGAGCAGGAGCAACAGGAAGACGACCTTATCCAACACACCCACCAAGTGGTCAAACAACTTGCGGAAGTCGAAGAAGTCGCTGATCGGATCATAAACACTAGAAATGCCATCGATGAGAACAGATGTGAAACCCAACGTCAGACCACGGCACTACTCCAGTCCGTCTCCCAGATAGAAGGTCGTGTCAAAGATTTACTTCAACGTGTCAAGGAGCTACCAATGTCTACTCCAGCCCCCGAACAGTTACAACAGTGGCAAGAGGAAGCGAGACGAGTCAGAACCGACTTGGAGGCTATAAACTTGAACACAACGGAGGAGTGGGTCAGAAAAATGCAAGATAGAGTTGAAAAAATTATCACAGAAGGAGAGAATTTAATCAAATCGGTGCAACCCGGTCGATCGGCGGTGGATCTTGAACGATTGGAGGTGTATCAGGAACAACAGCGGAGGCTGTTAGATTTACAGAATGTTCAGCTCTACGCTATTGGAAATAGCACTCAGCGTGCCGGTATTGAAATGCAAGCGGCCAAGGTGAGACCAGTGTGGTTGGAGAATGTAGGGCCATTTGTTTGTAACTCAATCATAGTTGTGGAATATGTCTACCCCCGTTGTTCCCATGGAACAGTCAAGTTGTTTGTAGGAATTCGTAGACTATTTGTTATGTTTTCTAGGTGTCTCTGGAGACTGTAAGTAGACGATTCTTACTTGTTCGAGTAACTTGCATGCCTACTATGCGTTAAAGCCATACCCTTACAAGTTTATAGTTAGGACCACTTGGCCTTGGGAAACAACGAAGACAGACATCACTTATGATCGGTACGCAATTCAGACCGCATGACTCGGCACGAATAAGCCAAAGCTCTAAGTTTGGAGAGCTTGTTCAAATGGCTACCCTGTCCTCTGTACGCCACTGGCCCGCAAGTCGGTGGACCGCGAGCTGCACTATATCGCATCTGGTAGCCCAGTACTGTTGATCTTTTCCGCCCACGCAGTCCAGTGATTCTAACGACGGACTCGCAAGCGTGAGGTAGGGGACTCTAGCCCCACAGTGGTCAGATGGGATGTACGTTGGTGACAATTGCCGAAAAAATGCAACTGCCATCCGGTGTCTTGGAATATGCATGGAACCGGTCGGGAACTCATCATTTCAGAAGACATTGTGAACAGCCGGTTAGTGTATCTGTTATCTCTCCCGACTCTTGAAGTCTACCTGTAAATGCTGCCTGCGCGCAAGTCATCGCATCACAACAGTTTCAACACCGGTAATCATTTCTTATGTCCTCATCTTAGATTTACTGGTAGTAAAATTCAAACCCTTATACTCTACACCCAGTTACACTTAATGTTCGATCTGACTCATTGATAACACCACAATAGTTGCTGCTGAATACAAGTTTGTCTGTATGGCACTCGGTTTTGTGATATACAGACACCAACCTTGTCATTCCCTCGACTCCCTTCCTCTTTCTGCCTTAAACTCGAAGCCCCTATTAAAAACCCGTCATAATCAGTCTTTCGTCACGGTAGTCTGTAAATCCAAACCCAGTCGACTCGTGTGGAGGTGGATTTCACCCATACGTCTGGTTGTCGAGTAGATTCTCTGCCTCAGAAACGAATTGACTGCTCTGTGGGCTATCCGTGCCGAGGTATGCGAAGTATCCAGTGGTTTGACTATGAGGGATACGGGAACAATGTTATTCTTTCGACACCTGATATTAAAAATCCGCTGATTCTCATAGTTGGCTCCGACGCCCTCTGAGCACACAAATTTACTTGCCAGTTCTCAAACACGAAGTCCGTATCTCCATTCGAGATCTTAAAATACGTTTGGAACTGGTTGGAAATTCATCACTTCAGAAGGTACTATGAACAATCGGTTAGTGTATTTATTGGGCCCAACAAATACAGGCTGTGCACAAAGCCAGCTGGAATGACGATCGCCCGGTGTGCTTCCGGAAGTATGATACCTACCTAATAGAGCCTACATGGGATGCATTCAACCTATACGTGATAGTAAACCTCTTACCACTTTCTTGCAAAACGAAAAATGACGAGAGAATAGACAAACAGAACAGAAAGCGCTAATCGGACGGGCAAAAGCTTGCTAAAATGGACAATGGTCTGTATGCGTGTGTATCTGTGTGTGCGAATCAACATCTGAAATTCGACTGGCCAGTGGTGATGTTGGCTGCCTTTCAAGGAGGTGGCACGCAGCAGTTCGATCATTTTCCGATCAATTTCCGCAGGCTCTTACGCAGTGTTATCAACTGATCTTATTCAAACAACCAGGCGTCGTAACGGCTAGTCGGTCGGTAGCTGTGCCAACCAGTTAAGCTGCTGCAAGTTCCAAAGACATTATCAGCCACGGCATCAGCGAACCAGTTACCAGACCTCAACTGCCTGAATTCAGTGTTGGTGATTTGATTCCCTCAACGGACGTGAACCTTATTTCGCAAGCTTTGGCGGTCACTAATGGCCACTATCTCAATGTGTTCGATGCACACTGGATACGGAGGTTATAGATACACTAACGTTTGTCACACTGCAGCGTTGAAGACCTTTCTCACAACCAATGGTTTTATGCCCAACCGTGTCCATTGGTACCTTGAGCCCTGAATAGATCCACGAGCCTCCTAGAGCGCTGCAGTAACCCCTTCTGCTAAATGATCACCATAGATGATTCAGCTGGATAGATAAGTAAACCGCGCGATCACCTCGATGGGTTGTTCACTGGTGAGCGGAACTGTGAAGACTCTTGTACCGGCACTTTCACCCGAATACGAAACCGACGGCGAAACATGCAGAGCTCTGCGTTGGTCTACTTGGCGGTACCAGCCAATTAGTTGGACTAAACTTCCCGAGAGGTATAACGTTCGCGTGGGTTAACTTTAGGTATTCATTGCCTGACAGGACTTCCAGTTCAGAAGAATCACGTACGACAGTGTTATTCATAACTAGCTAGATTACGAGTTTGAAGTGAAGTGGCTGATCGAGTCCTGAGAGACTGAATGGGAGGCGGTTTTTATGTGAAGTAAACAGACCATGATGGTTCGATCCTATGCACAGTGCCGTCCAACCATCTGGCGGAACGCAAATAAGTGATCAGCGAACTCTTCACCAGAGCGGAATCTAGCTCGATTTTCATCCATTCTACTCTCGTGATGGCAACAGAGTAACCATACTAATCTGCTTGTACGAAGCATGTGGGCAGTTGCAATGAGGCGGTGCCTCGGTGCTTTTCACAAAAATCTCTTGGCCAATTTCAATCTTACTAGAAACCACACTAGACCATCAGCCTAATAACACTTCACCAGTTCACCATGAAATGGTGCACGAAACGGCTAGATCGATAATCAGTCGGTTGCCGCTACCTTTCATCAACAATTCGAGGGAGAGCTCTCTGGTCCATAGCCTTGCTTTGCCTTATCGGCACCAATCTATATACTAACCCATCGATTTTGAGAGGTGTGAAGTATACGTCCTAGCAAGATTCATCTGGATCAGTAGACTATGGTGATCAAGAAGGGGGATGAACTAGCCTTTAAACGCGTCACTTAGCGTTCATATTGGCCGGTCTGAGAATAACTAGGATAACTATCCAGCCTTCTTGATCACTATTTGACTCATTGTTGAGGTCTGGGGCTACTGCATTGAGGACATCGTAACATGACTTTACTGTCAACAGTGACAAAAGCGCTTTTCTTCTTACGAACTCTTGCAACCCAACGGAACGCCTGATCGCCACTGGGTTCTAATTCATGCACAGTATCATGGTAACTATGATCACCCAACTGTACCCTCTCCTATGTTTCTGACAGATTGTTTGGAATCATGAATCTACTGGCTTTTGGGGCGCAGGTAACCACCCTTGCTACTCTCTTCATGAAGTGTTGGGATGGAATCTAATCGGTGTTTTCCCGTTCGACCTCTCGGTTAGTGACGACTGAAGTTGCAACCCAGGTTGGTTTAGTTACTGCAGAGCTCTTGAGTTAGGATGGCGAACATTTGACCTCCGAATTTAGTACTCGATTTAGAAAAAGAAGTTGAGTGCTGCGATGATACACATAAGCACCAAGTCGTAGTCAGAAGCCAGACAGTTATACCAAAGAGAAAACTCGGATTGACAGGAAGAATCTGTAGCTGATGTCGATATACTTCGGCAAGAGTAAGGCAACACGATGTGAGTGCCTGTGCTCAGGGATTCTGTAGATATACCGCTTGAAATGGACTCAGATAGTGGAACAACTCACTAGTATCAATACTATCATACTTTCGGCTTGTACTATCCTCCAGAGCACTGTTCTAGCTTTGGCAAACTGTCTAGCAGTGCCGGAGATGTCGTTCTTCTGGACACACAACCATAGGATGAGAGTGTTTACAGGGATCTCCTCTAATGGTTTCAGGTCAGTAATTCCTCGATGCCTACACGGAAGCAATAAAATGCCCAATTAACTGTTGATAGTCACTGGATCCAGGTCCACAAATTTATATGCTCTCAGGGTTTTGGCAAGGTGAATGGTATGTAGTGGGGAGCAACTCCACCCCTTGCACAAAGTTAACATGCGTGGCACTAGGAACTGAGTCGCGCTCGATCTTGGTTACTACTAGTCCGTAGTGTCAGCTTACCAATGCCACGCATGTGTTGGTGGCGTGTTTCAGCCCCTCATGAGGAGATGATCATGTGTACGGATCCCACCGGATTCGGCGGAAATGTGCGCTGCGGATGAACCTCAGTAGGGCAAAACTATCGGTCAGTGCTTCAGAGGATTCGTGGTGCATGTCTGATCGTCGCTAATTGAAGCAACTATCCTTACCATGATAAGAGATCTTATCTTTATTCGGAGTCTATTAACTCCGATGTGGGTTAGAGTGGATTGGCACACTCACAGGCATTTGCCGTTGTTCGCTCGAGTAGACTGGCCTAGACCTTCCTGCACATAAAAGGACTCGGTCTGTGGATCGTGCATATGGTTGGCGGCATCCGGTTTCGGATTTGCCTGTCACTGTGGCCAGCCACAGGACGCCTGCGCCTACAGAGGGACCTTGGGTGGCTTGCGCTGCAGCACCCAAAACTCCAACCACACATCCCATATCCAGTGTAAACCCGAAGGAATAAGACCGGGAGGCATGTGGATGGGAGCCACGTTTCATCAACGGAGCCGGCCCACACTCCTTCACAGGCAAACACAAGCATGCTGTAGTTGGGAATCAAGCGCACACAAGGCGGTGGCTGGACCGTAGTCCGCTCCACACTGAGTGCATGGAACCACTCTTTGATCCTAACACGGCCATAAGGACCGTGCACCCCGTCCCCTCTAGCAACGACCAACTGTTTCCTGGAGCGAGTATGAATGAGGTAGTGGGTAATAGACAGGTAGGCACCTTGTCAACATGCACATCAAGCGCAGCCACACCGAGGATATCAAGCAACAGCCATTCACTTTAAATGACAAGCTGAAATAAAATAAATCCAATAATGCATACAGATACGGTGGCATAACTCTTCCCTAAATTACCATATGAAGTAAGTT